CTGTCTGAGAGCACGACCACCAGCCTCCTTCTGCCAGAAGAGGCGCCTCACCTCTCGCAGGCCCGTGTTCAGCCTACGTGTCTTCTGGGTGTCTTCTCTCCGCTAAGTACCCTAATTCAGGCCACCGATTGGGGTCTCACTTCAATTTTTAAACTATTTTATGTGTGTAAGTGTTTTGCCTGCATATATATCTCTATGCACCACCTGTGTACCTGGGATCCACAGAGGCCAGAAGAGGACATTGGCTCCCCTCGAACTGGAGTTGCACACAATTGTGAGCTGCTATGTGGTTGCTGGGAATCAAATGTGGGCTCTCTGGAAGAACAGCCAGTGCTCCTAACCACTGAGCCATCTCTCCAAACTGCCAAGGTTTCTTTAGTTTTATTTTCTTGCAAACAATGGTCCACACTAGGCTGAGAGATCTATACTATAGATGTCTTAGACCATCTCCACTTAAAAAAAACTCTTTAGTGGCCATTTTTTTCTTTCTGTTTGCTTGTTTGTTTCTCTGTGTAACAGCCCTGACTGTCCTGGAACTAGATCTGTACACCAGGCTAACCTCAAACTCAAAGATCCACATGCCTCTGCCTCCCTGGAACTTGCTCTAGTAGACCAGGCTGACCTCGAACTCACAGGAATCCACCTGCCTCTGCCTCCAGAGTGCTGGATTAAAGGCGCGCACCACCATCTGGCTTGCTCTTACTTTTCTAAAGAAAATGTTTGATCACTCTGCAAAGCCCTTCAGTTGACTGCATGGTACTCCATTACTTGGATGTACTGTGCTGCTGATTGGTCCTCTAGTGATAAGTATCTGAGTGTTTTCTAAACGTTTGCTACCAATGCTTTAACTTTGTATATAGTCTATTTGCCATGTGTGCAGGTATACTGGATCAAAGATCAGATGTTGCTGTAATTCCAACAGTGATAATTTGCATTTTGACCGATCATCAAACGTTTGAAATTATTGCCAATTTATAGGTTAAAAAAGTATATTTAAATATAATTTAAATTTTCTTGTGAGAGACATTAGTTTTTTTCTTTTTACTATGTGTAAAGGTCATTTATCTCTTCTGTCAACAACCCATTTTCTTATACAATTTTTGCTCTTTGTCATATTGATTGGAAAAGATTTTGTATATATAAAGCAAATTAGTTCCTTAGTCTGCGATATGAGTTGCAAATCTCCCCCCTGGTTTTCCATTCATCTTTGTTTATGGTGTGCTTTTGCTCTGCAGAAATTATAGATTTTTCTGTTGACAGAATTTGTCTTTCTTATGCTTTGAGAAATCCTGTACCATCTGAAAAACCCTTCCTCCACCATGACATTGTAAATTTGTAATTTTACTCTTGCATTTATTTAAACACGATTGATCTGTACAGATGTAATTTGGTGTATGAACTGAAGCAGAGACACTGAATTATTTTTTCCAGGTGGTTACACAGTTGTCTCAACAGTACTGACTGTATAATCTATCCTATCCCTGCTGACAGACAATGCTATCTTTATAACATCCTAATTTTTTTAATGTCTTGGATCTATTTCTGGGCCATTCTGTTCTCTTGGTGGAACTACTTATGTATGCACTGGCATTTTCTGGAGTTCACTGTACTGTTTGGGAGAGCTTCCTCCCTCTCATTAACCTTCCTTTTCAAAATGCTCATGGTTAGTTTGCTGTTGTTGCTGGGGCTGCTGCTGCTTAAATCAGTATAAATTTACACATGAACTTTATATTCAGGTTTTGTAGTCTATTGGTATTTTTATTAGACCATATTAAATTTATAGATTAGTTTATGGAGAGCTGACATCTTTATGATACTGAGTCTTTCTACTTCAAGATATACTGTGCTTTCCCATTTATCCAACCTTCTTTTTGTGCCTTTTGCTAGCATTTTTAAGTACCTAGATCTAGCATATTTATGATTAGATTGCTATTTCCTTTACTTGTTATTTCACTTGAATATCACATATTTTATTTCCTTATACTTTCTATTGAATTCATTTTAAAATGTATATTAACTTATGTCTATTTTGCTTAAAGTATCAAGTCTGATCTGAGTTGTATTCCACGGGCATGGGCATGCACGAGCACACACACACACACACACACACACACATAAATGTAAAATATGTCTTATTTGTATTAGCTTATCAGTTTATGTTCTTGGACTTTCTTTTTTATTTTTATACATTTTTATTGATATTTATTGAGCTCTACATTTTTCTTTGCTCCCCTCCCTGCCTTTCCCCTCCCCCTTCAACCCTCCCCCAAGGTCCCCATGCTCCCAATTTACTCAGGAGATCTTGCCTTTTTCTACTTTCTACTTCCCATGTAGATTAGATCAATGTAAGTCTCTCTTAGTGTCCTCATTGTTGTCTAAATTCTCTGGGATTGTGGTTTGTAGGCTGGTTTTCTTTGCTTTATGTTTAAAAACCACTTATGAGTGAGTACATGTGATAATTGTCTTTCTGGGTCTGGGTTACCTCACTCAAAATAATGTTTTCTAGCTCCATCCATTTTCCTGCAAAATTCAAGATGTCGTTATTTTTCTCTGCTGTGTAGTATTCCATTGTGTAAATGTACCACATTTTTCTTATCCATTCTTCAGTCGAGGGGCATTTAGGTTGTTTCCAGGTTCTGGCTATGACAAACAAAGCTGCTATGAACATAGTTGAGCACATGTCCTTGTGGCATGATTGAGCATCCTTTGGATATATACCCAAAAGTGGTATTACTGGGTCTTGAGGAAGGTTGTTTCCTAAATTTCTGAGAAATTGCTACACTGACATCCAAAGGGGCTGTGCCAGCTTGCATTCCCACCAGCAATGCAGGAGTGTTCCCTTTTCCTCACAACCTCTCCAGCATAAGTGTTTTTGACCTTGGCTATTCTTACAGGTGTAAGATGGAATCTCAGAGTTGTTTTGATTTGCATTTCTCTGATGACTAAGGATGTTGAACATTTCCTTAAGTCTCTTTCAGCCATTTTAGATTCCTCTGTTGAGAGTTCTCTGTTTAGGTCTGTACTCCATTTTTTTTTTAAACTGGATTATGTGTTCTTTTGGTGTCCAATTTCTTGAGTTCTTTGTATATTTTGGAGATCAGACCTCTGTCTGATGTGGGGTTAGTGAAGATCTTTTCCCATTCTGTAGACTGTCATTTTGTCTTGTTGACCATATCCTTTGCTTTACAGAAGATTTTCAGTTTCAGGAGGTCCCATTTATTGTTTCTCTCAGTGTTTGTGCTGCTGGGGTTCTATTTAGAAAGTGGTTCCATGTGCCAATGCGTTCAAGTGTACTTCCCACTTTCTCTTCTATAAGGTTCATTTGGACTTGATTTTTGTGCATGGTGATAGATATGGGTCTATTTTCATTCTTCTACATGCTGATATCCAGTTATGCCAGCACCACTTGTTAAATATGCTTTCTTTTTTTCCATTTGATATTTTTTGCTTCTTTATCAAAGATCAGGTGTTTGTAGATGTGTGGATTGATATCCAGGTCTTCTATTCGGTTCCATTGGTCCTCCTGTCTGTTCTTATGCCAATACCAGGATGTTTTCAGTACTGTAGCTCTGTGGTAGAGTTTGAAGTCAGGGATTGTGATGCCTTCAGAAGTTCTTTTATTGCCCAGGATTGTTTTGGCTATCCTGGGTTTTTTGCTTTTCCATATGAAGTTGAGTACCGTTCTATCGAGATCTTTGAAGAATTTTTCTGGGATTTTGATGGGCATTGCGTTGAATCTGTTATTCTTAGACTTTCTAAATAAGCTATTGTCTTAGCTCTTGTCTGTCACTATAAGGGTCACGGTCAGAAGCACATTAGGGAAGAAAGGCTGTATTGGGATTTGGATTACAGGTCCATCTTCAGGGGTCGTCAAGGCAAGTGCTCAGAGAAGAAACCTGGAGGCAGAAACTGAAGCAGGGGCCATAGAGGAGTTCTTTTACTGCCTTGCTCTTCACGGCCTCCTTAATGTGCTTTCTTACACAAGCCAGGACCACCTTCCTAGGTATGGCGGCACCCACTGTTATTCTTTTTTAAAGATATAATGATGGGGTTCCCACGAGGAACAACGGTCCCAGGAGGGTAGCAGGTGACCCTCAGCAAGTCCCCTGAGGCCTTGGCGGGAGGGAGACAGATAGAAGCATCAAGCAGAGAAAGAGTTTATTTAGTGGGTTATGGAGGGAAAAGGAAAAGGGGAGAAGGGGGGCAAGAAGAGAGAGAGAAGAAGAAGAAAAAGGAGAGAGAGAGAGAGAGAGAGAGAGAGAGAGAGAGAAAGAGAGAGAGAGAGAAGTTACTTCTCCAGAAGAGAGACAAAGAGAGCCAATGCAGGCTGGAGGAGGCAGGATATCCACTTCCCTTGGTGGAAGGGGAGGGGTTGAGAGAGGGCAGGGCTTGTCTCTTAAAGGGACAGAGTACCCAGGTGACAGGACAAGCTAGTAGATCATAACATTCTCATCTCTTTCTTATAATAAAAAGGCGGGAGATTAGGCAAAAGAGGTTAAAGGAATTGGGATGGCAGATTCTCAAGACTGTTTCCAGTTTATTTATGGGCATCATCTTGTAGGGGGACCTGAAAAAGCTGGGTGCTGGTCACATCCTGGCGTAGCTTGTCTCTTTGCTTCTGTCTGGTGTTTGTGGTATGGAAATGTTCAGTGTCTCTTAGATCTGTTTAAGGTGGATCCTTTAATTCAGCTCCCTGGAACTCACAAGAATGTTTAGGGTTTGTGAAAGCATACGTTTTAAATAGCAACTTATTTATATCAGGATGACTGTGACAGATATTTTTATATAATAAAAAGTCTCTTTAAGACTATGAAAGGAAGCATGAGAGAGAATTTTGTTTACTTGTATTTTATAGAAATTTGTTTGGTGAGGTTATCCTTTTAAATGACAAAACCTCTCAGCTGTCAAACTGCATCAGAGATCTTTGAGAAGGATAAAATTTTACTTGAATTATTAATTAAAAATGACAAAGAACTTACTTGGTTGGCACCTGGAGGTACTTCTCAGGATCCTCCATGGTTGCTGAGAGGTCGTATTTGCCTTTTGCTAATTTGTACAGGACCTTCCAGGCTCCAGAAGATCCTGTGGGCTAAGAAATCTGGAGGAAGGTCTGGAGACATGGTCCAGTAGTTAAGAGCACTGGCTGCTCTTCCAGAGGACCCAGGTTCAATTTCCAGCACCCACATGGCAGCTTACAACTATTTGAAGATCCAATTGCAGGGGATCTGACACCTTCACACCAATGCACATAAAATTAAGTTAAATAAACCATAAAAATATTAAAGAAAAAAGAAAGAAAAAGAAATCTGTAGGAAGACAAGCCTACCTTGACCTGAGTATCTAGGCTGTCGATTCTGGTGATTCTGTCCACATCTGGAGATTTTCAGTTTAGATGAAAGGCAGTTTTTCCCAGTGGTCCGCGCTTGGCAGTTGAAGCAAACTGGACATTGTTTTCTGCCTATCTGTCTTCTGTCTTCTTGGGAGGAAGTAGAGTGCTGCTGCTAAGAGCCAACTTGTCTCTTTTTGTTATAAAAAGTTTTTAATTAAGTATTAATTATAATTAAGTATTTAAATGCCATATTCCCCAGATCTCTGAGCAGTAGAGGGCTGCTTACCAGGCATAGATGAGTTATAACTACAGTATAGAATCTGCCTGGAGAGCTGGATCCGAGCTTGACTGTACTGGCTCTCAACTTAACAGGCAAGATTTATACTTGTAAAAGACAGAAAGAAGAAAAAAAACTGCTTCCAATAAAAGGTTAACAGTAGAACTGAAAATAGTAGAGAACAGCTTAATATATTTTAAAGCTAGCCAGGTGGTGGTGGTGCACACCTTTAAGCCCAGTACTTGGGAGGCAGTGGCAGGCGGATCTCTGTGAGTTCGAGGCCAGCCTGGGCTACAAGAGCTAGTTCCAGGACAGGCTCCAAAGCTACAGCAAAACCCTGTCTCGAAAAACCAAATATAGATAGATAGATAGATAGCAGGGTTGAATTAAATATACTGTATTTTTTGTAAGAGACTTAAAAGTACATACCAATTTAAAACATGAGACTTGTTTTTGTAATCTGAAATGAGATACAATGAACAGACAATTATAACATTTAACAGTAAACATAGATGCATTTAAGTTATACATATGCACACTCACACACACACACACACACACACACACACACACACATGCAGTGAACAGGAATTGAGCAAAGTGGATGCTTTTGGTGGGCCCTACCAAAGGCACGCCACTGCACAAAACAGTGCATATAACATATAACAGAGTCAGCACTGGGGAACCAGACAGGAGTACCTCAGTAAAGATAGTGGGACTTGGTCACCTGATCTGGGCCTCAGTTAAGATGGTAGTGAAGTCACCTGACCTCAGCCAAAATGGCAGCAGTCACATGTTGTATGGAGAAGCCACGTTTTTTTGAGCCGCAGGAGTTTTAAATATAATAACACCACAGTGGACTAGGTCCTCCCAAATCAATCATCCATCAAAAAATACCCCACAGACCTGCCTGCAGGCCAATCTAATGGAGACATTTTCTCAGTTGAGTTTCTTCTTCCTAAATAACTCTTGTGTCTGTAATGGTTTAAGTAAAATGCTGCAGGCGGCAGGCAGCAGGCAGTGGGCAGCAGAGCCGAGACCACAGCAAGCCACAAAGGCAGCCAGGTCCCAGGCAGGAAGCCACATGAGAGACCAAGACGGATAGGCACTCCATGCACAGTGAAAGTTGGATATTTATTTAGCAGGTTATGGAAGGGACAGGGAGAAGGTAAAAGAGCAGAGAGAGGAGAAAGAGAGAGGAAGAAACAGAGGGGGAGGGGAGAAGTGGGGAGAATGGAGAGACAGAAACTGCCTCTTTGAGAGAGAGACAGAAAGGAAGAGACTGCAAGCAGGAAGAAAGATCTGCCTGCCTCAGAGGATGGGGGAGGGAGTGGGTGGGGCTTGTCTCTTAAAGGGACAGGACAGACCATTACAGTGTCTAAAATCTAAAAAGGCCAAAAACCTAAAAAAGGAAAGCTACCATCCTAAACATTTTAATTCTTGATTTTTTTGTTTGTTTGTTTGTTTTTCAAGACAGGGTTTCTCTGTAGCTCTGGCTGTCATGGAACTAGCTCTTGTAGACCAGGCTGGCCTCAAACTCACAGAGACCCACCTGCCTCTGCCTCCCAAGTGCTGGTCTTAAAGGTGTGCACCACCACTGCCCGGCTAATTCTTGATTTTTAGGTCTCATTCTTTTCTCTTCTGTAATTACATAGGCAAGTAATTTCAAAGCCGTGTTAAATAAAACAGCTACAGGAGCAAACCTTGTCACGTGTCTCAATGTAATGGGAATAATCTAATTTCTTTATTAAGTATAATTATAAACTTTGGACTAAATGTGTAAATTCTGGGGGGTTTGTTTTTGCTTTTGTTTTTCGAGATCAGGTTTCATAACAGCCTTGCCTGCCCTGAAACTTGCTTTGAACCAGTCTGGCTTCAAACTCTCAAGGATCCAGCTGCCTCTGCCTCCTGAGTGCTGGGATTAAAGGTCACTCTACCACTATAACCAGCTGAGTGGAAATTTAATCATGTTGAAAAAAGTTAACCATGGGGCTAGTGAGATGTCTCAATGGGTAAAGACATGGGCTGCCAAGCCTGACAACTGGAGTTCAGTCCCAAACCGATCTGTTGGAAGAAGAGAATTAACTCCCATAAGCTGTGCTCTGACATCCACAAATTTGTCATAACACATACAATGTTATGGGGGAGGGGAGGAGGGAGAGGGAAAGAGAGGGAGGGAGAGGAGGGAGAGGAGGGAGAGAAGGAGAAAGGGAGGGAGGGAGAGAGAAGGGAGGGAGTAGAGAGAGGGAGAGACGGAGAAAGGGAGGGAGAGAGGGGGGAAGGAGAGAGAGGGAGAGGGAGAGAGAAGAGGGGTGAGAGAGAAGGAGAAAGGGAGGGAGAGAAAGAGAGGGAGAGAGAGAGGGAGAGAAGGAGGAGAGAGAGGGGGAGAGAGGAGAGAGAGAAGGAGGGAGGGAGGGAGAAGGAGGGAGAGGGAGAGAGAAGAGGGGTGAGAGAGAGAGAGAAAGAGGGTCCACTCTCAGGGAATGAGGCTTTGCATTCGGGATGCAAGGCGTTAAATGTCTGTTTTCGGGATATGAAGCTCTGTACTCGGGAGACAGAGCATTAAATGTTTAGGCAAGGCATTTAATATTTCTGCTTTTTAGGAGGCAGGCTTGGAGGATCTCTCCTTCCACGAGGCCAGGTACCTGGGCCATTGTGAGAAGTGAGATAACCGTCCTGCTTTAGCACCCTCTTTTAAGTCAGTTCGAAACTGCCCTTTGCTTGATCCTTCCGATAACCAGGTGTCCTAGGTTATCAGTATCAATTGGCCACAGAAGGGTGGGGGTCCCTCTTGTATGGCAAGATTATTTCGTTACCATGGTTGCTGGGTGCAGCCTCCCCATCTGGCAGGGCCAGATGGGTGTGGCAGCCTTCAAGCGGGCAAAAGTTCTCTTAATATTTCACTTTAGTAATTTTCCATACCACACACAAGAAGAAATGCTTTTACATTACACCAAGTTGTATTCATTCTTATTCTATAAATTTCCTGTTCTATCTACACTACAGATTTCCCTTTCTTTATTCATTCAGAGGAATCTGGTTCCATGCTCATTACACCCTTAATCCTAGCACTCAGGAGGCAGAAACAGGAGGATCTCGGTGAGTTCTCGGCCAGCCTGGTCTACAGAGTGAGTTCCAGGACAGGCTCCAAAGCTACAGAGAAACCCTGTCTGGAAAAAACAAGCAGAAAGAAAGAAAGAAAGAAAGAAAGGAAGGAAGGAAGGAAGGAAGGAAGGAAGGAAGGAAGGAGAAAAAAGAAAGGAAAAGAAATAAAAGCAAGCAGTTTGACTCCAGATCCTATGTTCCCAAACACTGTGTTCTAATCTCTCAGGAGTCTTGAGTCCTGAGCCAAGGACCCCTGAACATGGCCCTCACTGTAAGCCACATCCATACCAGGAAAAGAGAGCTGGACCCTGAGGGCTAACTAAACTGGATGACTGAAGTCATTGCTACCATTTTTTTTTCTTCATCTATACCCTCTGGTCTTTGTGAGTTCCACTTCCTCTACTTTGCTTTGTATGTTGGGCAGGGTCCCTGCACAGGTCTTGGCCCTTCCTCATTCTACCTGTCTCTACTCTTCCCTAGGCATTCACATCTGCATCTTCTGGTGACTTTCTGTGCATCTCCAGACCTCTTTCCTAGCCAAGCTCTCACATCTGCCTTGTAAACTCAGTACCTCCACCAAGACGCCTCACAGCGAGCACAGGTGCCCGAAACTGAACCTATTTAACTCGGAGCTCTTTATTTCTGCGCCTACACAATTCTGGGCCTCCCACAGACTCTTCCTTTCTAGTAATTAAAGCTGATTGCTCAACGAATATAAAGTATGTACTTTAGTACTGAAATAAACAAAACCAAAACCAAAAACCAGACCCAAACAATTGCCCTCAGAGCCAAACAGTTGGGCCGGCATGAGGAGGACAAAGGCAACTGAAGCATAGGAGATTGTTCAGTGCTGAGAGCCAGGCTGATCCAAGGCTTTCCGGAGATCCCAATGTATGGAGAAATGACTAATACTTTGTCAAAACCCAGGAACAAGCTTGACAAACCCAGGACCTTGGGAGCTTCCCGCAAGGCCCTGACTTAAGGGAAAGGAACAGAAGTTCCCAGTCTAAAACCAGAAATCTGCTTGGCAAGGCCAGCAAAACAGCCTGGGGCCAGAGTCTGGGGAAACCTTCGCCTGGGGTTGGAGAACCTGCTCTTCTCCCCCTCGGACCGCTGGTCAGGTCATTAGGCCCAGGCTGCTGTGTGCTAGGTGACTAGAGATATACTCTGTTCCTTTTTATGCAACAATGCTTGATTAGCTTCCTGATGACTTTGCCCCAATATATGATTGTTTTCTGCTGATTTTGTTTCATTTCTCCCCTGAAAAAAATGTATATAAGTTGGTCTCCTTCTTAATAAACTTGCTTGACCTAAGGCATAGCTTGTGAAGACCCCAACCCCAGCTTTCCCATCTTCTCTACCCTCTCACCCGTCTAGGATCACTGAAGAATGACCTACTGGTACAGGTCATATTAGCCCGGAACCCCATTTGTTATGCATATACCCTAAGGCAGTAACACATTTGGCAGCTGAGTTCCTTCACCTGCTTGTGTTGTGCACACAAGGCACCAGGCAACTTCAGAATTCCTTCAACCCTCTGTGTGCATCAGGTTATGAGTAATCTCACCTTTGAACAGTAATTTAACTGTCCCCGCTTCTAGTAATGATCAAATTAAAACAGTTTCTATTCTGTTGTATTCCCAACATATCAGGGTAAGAACAATAGAAGGCCGATCCAGTCTGAACTGGTTTTAGGTACATGCAAAATTGTGTCTTCTGGTAAGTTTTAGGGGGCGTCTATTTGCCATCTTATGCTTATACATACTTGAGTGTGCATATGATTAAAATCAGATGCATTATGGGAAGGGGCATGTGTAATAGGAAAACAACGTATGGTTCAATCTATTAATTAAAATAGAGAAACACTCAGCTTTTTAGATCCAATAAAAAGAGACCTCAGGCTTTAGCTTAGGGACCTTCAGGGCCATCTCCTCATGTGGTCTGATGGGCCAGACCATGCCCGTGTAGAAGGGCATTCTTCTACAACCTGTACCGTTGCTTTGGTCTGATAAAGTTAGCCTGCTACTTCTGCCAATCTGCCCGAGCCCTTCTTTTCCACTCTTTGAACAAGAGGTCCAGAAGGCCACACATTGATGACAGGATGAGGTCAGAGAGGCAGCTGCTTTCTTCCAAGAAGAGCGGGGGTTTCACACAGTGGTCAGAATAAGTAGAAGTTCACAGGAATAGGAGCACCTTGGGTGCTGTGAATTCATGGTAGGAAGGGCAGGTGGAACCTGAGGACTTGGAGCAGGAGATGGAGGGAAAGCTGGCAAGGTGGTTTGAGATGTGAGATATTCTGTTCCTTTCTCAGCAGGTTTGCTATGCATTATATGATTCCCCTGCTTCCATGGCCAAGCAGCTGCAATTTCAGGTGTGGGTCACAGCAGCCACCCAGGTTCTTAGGCTGTCTGGGTCTTGTTTTTTATCCCCTTTCTTTCCTAGGGCTAATTCCAAAGACACAACATAGATCACAATGTCACAGCCAAATTAATTAAAGCAAACCACACCATCACAACTAAATTAATTAAAGTAGATCACACCATCACAGCCAAATTAGTTAAAGCAGATCACACCATCGTAGTCAAATTAGTTAAAGCAAATCACACCATCATAGCCAAATTAGTTAAAGCAGATCACACCATCATAGCCAAATTAGTTAAAGCAAATCACACCATCATAGTGAAACTAATTAAAGCAAGCATGATGTGACATTTCCCTCTGTATGATGTGAATGTTTTATTACCATTTGCTAATAAAGAAGTTGCAACGGCCTATGGTAGAGCAGAATATAGCAAGCTGGAAAATCCAAGCAGAGATAGAGGAGGAAAGAAGGCAGAACCAGACATATGCCATGTAGCTGCCCGAGAAGCAAGCAGTGAGGTAACAAACCACGAACCTCGTGGTAAAATATAAAATAACAGACGTGGGTTAATTTAAGATGTAAGAGTTAGTTAATAAGAAGCCTGAACTAATAGGCCAAACAGGGTTATAATTAATATAGTTTCTGTATGATTATTTGGGGCTAGGCGGCCAGGAAACAAAAAAGCAGTCTCCACTTACACAAGTATCCCTACTGTCCTGGAACACACTCTGTAGACCAGGATGACCTTAAACTCAG